AAGCCTGGAACCCCAAGTTTCGGCGGTTTCCAGAGGAGCATTTGCACAGCTTCGGCTTGTGCGCCAGCTGCGCCCATATCTTGGGAGGTCGGACTTGGCCACGGTAGTCCACGCTCTTGTCACATCCCGCATAGATTACTGCAACGCGCTCTACGTGGGGTTGCCCTTGAAGACTGCCCGGAAGCTTCAGATGGTCCAGCGCTCGGCAGCCAGGTTGCTAACGGCAGCGGCTCTCAGGGAGCACACCACCCCCTTGTTGAGCCAGCTCCACTGGTTGCCAATCTGCTACCGGACACAATTCAAGGTGCTGGCTTTAGCCTATAAAGCCCTACACGGTTCCGGCCCCACTTACCTCTCCGAACGCATCTCCACCTATGAACCGGTAAGGACGTTAAGATCGTCCGGGGAGGCCCTGCTCTCGGTTCCGCCGGCGTCACAAGTGCGATTGGCGGGGACGAGAGACAGGGCCTTCTCGGTAGTGGCCCCTCGGCTATGGAATGCGCTACCAGGGGACATCAGGCAGGCCCCTTCGTTACTGGTGTTTCGGAGGAGGGTTAAGACGTGGCTCTATGAGCAGGCATTTGGATAACTATGTGATGACAACCAACTTATTGACGGCATTGAACAAGGAATGAAAAAGGATTATGAGAACGGGATCTGATTCTAAGTGAGGCGTTGATGATGATTATGTGTGTTGTTTGTGTATGTGTGTCCGATATATTGTTCAGTGTTGCTTTTTATTGTAAACCGCATTGAGTCGCCGCCTCAGGCTGATAAATGCGGTATACAAATGGAGTAAATAAATAAATAATAAATAAATAAATAATAAATAAATTACTTTCTTCTTAGTAGCTGTTGGAAGAAGAAATGTACAAGACTGGAATGAGGGAGTGGAAAACATATTCCTTTCCCATTATTTCTGGCCATATGAATTTAGGCTACGCTTTAGGCATGCACACAGGATTTTGTTGTCCGTCACTTTCCCAATATCATAAATATTTCTCGGTTGTGCGCAAGCTAAACAATTATAATCAGGGATTAGACTAGGAATTCATCTAGAGATTTTATTAAAAAAATAACTAGAAACATAGTCTGAAAAAAAACTCTTTTTGTACTTTGACTGCAATATACACCCCTCCACAATTGTTCTGCAAGTTGTAGCCTCTCCCCCCCCCCAGCCCCCCAACTCCTCTTCTAAGCTCTGCTCACAGGATCATGCTATAAGCTGCTTGTTCTTACACATCTGTTGTAAATAATGCCAAGATTATTAATGGTGGAGAGTAGCTAATGCTCCTACACCAATATGCTTGATTCAATGTCCATATGGTAATCTGCTCATTAAGACAAAGCTGATCTCCCTTGCATGGATCTGTTTTTCACTTTCTTTCGCACATTATTGTAATTTGACAAACAGCAGCTTCCAGGAGGACTCTGAAGAAGAAAATCTCTAATCAGGTGAAAAAAAGGAACCTGCCTGGGTCTCAGTATATCAAATGTAAATCTCTGTGGGGGATCATTAGTGTTTATCCTTTCAGCTTCCTCCATCCCTGTCATCCATTCTCTTCGCCACTACCATTGTCATCTGTTAGAATGTTTTGCATTGTCAAGAACACAAGACATTCTCCAATGGTCCACTTTTTATGCTTTTATCGAAAAGGTGATAATAAGTATTTGTACAAGAATTTTTCTAAGAATCTAGGCAGAACATACAGGCACAAGAACTGTTGGCAGAAATGTCCTATTTGGTGCTCTCACCAGTGCGTGCGTGCGTGCATCATTAACCAACTCAGCTGAAGCTCTTTCACAACCCACGTTTTCTTGACATTTATCCCTTGTGACTTGTTTTGCCCATTAGAATTAAAATTTCAGACCTTCCATGAGTGGGGAGATTTATTTTCTTCCTTACTCCACCCATCACTTTATTTATATCCTGCTTTTCTCCCAGAGTGGGTGCCGCATCTATACAGTAGAAATTAATGCAGTTTGACACCACTTTTAACTGGCATGGCTCAATGCCATGGAATCCTTGGATTTGTTGTTTAGTGAGGCACCAGCACACTTTGGCTGGTGCCTCACCAGAACTACAACTTGCATGATATTGCTGGAAAAGAAAGAGCTTTTTCCCAAAAGGGAAAAAGGGGGACCAATCTTAACTTCTCTAGGGTTAGGGTTCCAAAGCACAAGCCTTTTTCTATGTTCCCACCAGCCATGCCTGTGAAAGCAGCTGGATAGAGAAAAGTACCTCCCCTGGAGATCTTTGCATTCAGACAGATTCATATGGAAAGATAAAGTCTTTTAAATAGTTTGGGCCATAATCATAAAGGTCTTCATAGGTCAAAACTAGTACTTGTGCCCAGAACAGATTAGCAGCCAGGGGAGCTGTTTCAAAAAAGGGGGCTGTGCTTCCTGTAATCAGCACTCATTAGCAATGTGGCTGCAGTTCTTTGGACCAGTTAAAGTTTCCGAATACTCTTCAAAGGCAGTCTCACAAAAAGTGCATTATAGTAATCTAATAAAAATATAATGGAAACATTGTCACTGTAGCCAAGTCAGATAGCCCAAGGAATTGGTGTGGCTGGTGCACTAGCTTTAATTGTACATGGACACTATTGGCCACCACAGAAATCTGAATATTCAGGGTCTACAGGATTACACCCAAACTGTGGATCTGCATCTTCAAGAAGAGTATAATCACATCAATTTCAGGCTGAATCCATATCCCTGATCTGCCTTACAATTGATGAGGAGTATCTCTGTCTTGTTTGGATTAAGCTTCATATTGTTTGCCCTCATCTGGTCCATTACAGCTGTCAGATACCAGTTTATCATAGAAACAACTTCCTTGAAATTGGGTGGAAAAGAGTAGAGGAATGGGGTGTCATCAACATACTGGAGATACCTGGCCTGCAACTCCAGAGAAACTCTTGCAGTGATTTCATGTATATTTTAAATAGCATAAGAGACTAATCAGAGCCCTGAAGGAAAGCAGCAAAGATATCAATCAGGAGTCCCCAAGCACTACTTGGAAAGGATTTGCTCTTCTAAGAAGGAATGGAGTCACCATAAAACATTGCCTTCAAGACTCATCCCAGTGAAGCAACCCAGAACAATACCATGGTTGATAGGTGTCAAAAGCTGCTGAAAGCTCCAGCAGAGCTGACACACTCTTCCTGTCTAGTTCCAAGTGTACGTTATAATAACTCCTTAATGGCCGTCTGGGCAGGGGGGTCAAACAATCCCACCGCTGCCACCAATTATAATAACCCCTTAATGGCCGTCTGGGCAGAGGGTCAAAGTATCCCACCGCTGCCCCACCAATTATAACAACTGGGCAGATGGCAATACGATCAATCCCACCATCTGACACCAATTATAACGGCAGGCTTTATGGCCAAGCAAAATAACTGGACAGGGGGCAAACAATCCCACCACTGTCCCTCCTTTACTAAGGAATTCACACCACTAATATAGCACTTGAGGAGATGACTCTCTATTTAAAACCTTCGCTGCCACCATAAACCAAATGAACAGGAACCCTCTAGCTGGTTAAAATAAGGAAAAGGCTTTTTAGACCACCATGTACTGTGTCTTTAAAAGGGTTTCTCTGAATGAAAACAGGTGAGGTTGATTTAAAAAGAAAAGGGACTAAATCCACAAATGGCACTTGACTCAGGCTTAAGTTTCAAAAATAACAAGGAAAGTTTATTGAAGTAAAAGTTACAGAATGAAGAGAATGCAGTTTCATAAGCTTGGCTGTTACAGTTAAAATGTTCTTGTTCTTAAGAGCATAACGGTTGCATGAGAAAATGGTTCTATCTTTGTTACAGTTCCTATTACAAATCCCAGCTATTCCTTCCCTGAATAGCTGTATCCACTTTGCCACAGCCTACTTTGCTGTGCAAACTTCAGGCAAACTGCCTATTCCTAACAGGAACTCCTAAAAGCCTTCTATAATCTTGCTCTAACTCTAACATCAACCAGAACCGAACTGACTAAAATAAGCTTTTTTTCTTTCCCTCCAACAGTCTAACTCTGCCCCCCTTTTACAAACCAATCCTGGCTGTTTCAGGGCTGGCTCAGGCCTAGGCCACTCCCCCTCTCTGAACTGGAGCTTTCCCTAAACTAAGATGGCTCCTGCTGCCCTCTGCCAGGCCTTCTAAGGCCTAACTAACTAGCCTGCCTCTCCTAGGCCCTGCCACCCCAGCTGGCAAGGTAAGGGATCTTCACATACGTCATCCACCAAAGTGGCCAAAGCAGGCACCCTCAAACTGTGGCCCTCCAGCTGTTTGGGCCTCCAACTCCCAGAAGCCCTAACGAGCTTGTCCAATTGTCAGGAATTCTGGGAGCTGAAGGCCCAAACAGTTGGAGGGCGGCAGTTTGAGGATGCCTGGACTAAAACTTCTAAAAAATTATTATTTACCTCAGATGCTATGATTGTCCTAAAATTAAATGTGAAATATTTTTAAATATCAACAAAGAAATTTCAAACTACCTAGGGTTCACTTGAGTTGTGTACCTCTCTTGATTCACTGTATGTTAGGGAACTTGGATGAAATACATCCTGTCCACACATAATATTGGATTCTCTTCCACTAGCCACACAAATACTTAATAGGACAATGTTCCAACGTTGTTGATATATATGTAGTTCATAAGCCATATTTAGAAAGTCCATTCCTATATATTGTTGGGATATCTATGGCCAAAGGAGAGATGTGAGCATCCCCTGATCTTCACACAGTGGGCCTGATTGGGGGAGATGTATCAACTGATCCAACTCCTTGTTGAAATAAGAAATAACTACTGCAATGAAGTGCATTCAGTTGAGGATAAAGAGATAGTTTTCAAATCACTGCAGTGTAGGGGAGGAGGGGGAACCCAACGAATGCTGCATTGAGTTCTTGACAGTACCATTAGAAAGTAATCAGTGTGGTAATAGAGGTCATGGAATGGCTTCAGGAATCAATTTTTGAAAAAAAAATCTTGTTTGTGTGTTTCAGATCGAAATGCTAGAGCACAAATACGGAGGCCACCTGGTCTCTCGGAGGGCAGCCTGCACTATCCAGACTGCCTTCCGTCAGTACCAGCTCAGCAAAAACTTTGAGAAGATACGGAATTCACTTCTGGAGAGCCGCATGCCCCGGCGGATTTCACTGAGAAAAGTACGAGTCCAGAACTCTGAAAGTTTCTCTGCTGAGAAAGCCCTGGTGGAAGGATACAATTTTGTTGGCATCCCCTTAGTGAGATCTCCATCCCTACCAGCCACTATCAGTGGAGCACTAACTGAACTGGAGGACTCTTTTACTGAGCAAGTCCAATCTTTGGCCAAATCTATAGATGATGCCCTCAGCACATGGAGCCTGAAGACTATGTGTTCCCTTCAAGATGGCAGCTCCTATCAGATAAGGGAGGCATTCGGTTCAATGCAGCCAAACCAAGACCTGGAAGCTGAACTGAAGGACCAACAGAAAGAGGAAGGTTTGCTGCCTGATACACTGCCAAAGAGCAGCAGCACTCTCATGATGGCCTTCAGGGATGTCACCGTCCAGATTGATAACAAGAACATCTCGGTCTCCTCATCTACCTCGGTGTCTATGGCCAACTGCCTTGCCAACAACACCCAGGCTGGGATTACTCAAGCTGCCAAAATAGAAGAAATCCCAGAGGAAGTGGGGAAAGAGGGCCAAGAACCTCAGGCTGTCCCAGAAGGGCAACCAGATCCCGAAATTCTCCAGAATAGTCATACAGAAACAGAGGAGAACATCAACACCAATGGCTTGGGAGGAGGAGACACAGAGCCAGAACAAATGATGGTGCAGAAGCTTGACTTTAGTTCTAACATTGAGACGGGACAGAACAAAGCCTCCGAGGTTGAAAATGTGGACAATTCAGAGCAGCTGAGCAGCAGCAGCACCTCCACCTCAGCCAAGTCAGCCTCAGAGTTATCCTCAAAGGAAGCCCTGCAGGCCATGATTTTGAGCCTTCCACGGTACCACTGTGAGAACCCAGCCAGTTGCAAATCCCCAACTCTTTCTACAGACACCATGAGGAAGAGGCTATATCGCATTGGACTAAATCTCTTTAACATGTAAGTGGTTTGTAATGATATATCTTTTAATTCTTCCTGGCTTTCTTCAATTTATGGCAACAATAGACTAGTGAAAATAATTGGGTTACACTCATTCCAAAGACATTGTTTTTATATTTAGGGACCAAAGCCCATATTAGTCAGAACTGTTACATCAGAGACCTGCCACAGATATAGACCACATCCAGATCGTTAGCATATAGAGCAGAAATTCTTAAACTGTGGGTCCCAATCCGCAGTGGCTCAATGTTGGGGTCTCATGAGGCTTCCTTCCCCACCACAAGCAGCCTTTGCTGCTGCTATCAAAGGAGAATAAGGAAATGCCCAGCACAAGCTAAAAGGGAAAGGGAAAGGCAGCTGGCCACATGGAGAGATAAGGGAGGAAGAAACCACCTGGCATTGGAGGAAGAGATGAGGGAGAGGAGAAGGAGGAGGAAGAATGGGGAATGAGGACTGGGGAAAGGAGGTGTGAAGGAGGAGAAGGAACTGCCAGTCTGTCCAGGCATTTACTATCCTTCCCTCATCTCTTTGCTTAAAGGAAATTTGATTTTTTGTGCTTTTTTAAAGGATTGCACTTTAATCTTCCTGCAGAGTTTGGCTTGCAATAGGATGGGCCCTCTGCATCCATTAATTCAACCATCCATACCTTGTATATCTCTATCTCAAATCTTGACTTTGCTTTTTTATATAAGGAACATCATTTTACTACACCCTTGTATAGCAAGAGATTTGAGCATCCATGAGTTTTGGTCTCAACTGTGGGTCCTGTAACCAAACCCCAGCATATACTGAGGTATTTACTTAAGGAGATCGATTTTTATGTCCTTGGAAATTAGGCACACCCTAATTGTTATTGCTGTGGTATAATTGGTTTTTCATATCCACGGGTTAAACCATCTGATACTTTTAAAAAATTGATTTGTATATCTTTTTATATGCTTATATACAAATAAACATTCCTTGGGCAAAGGGGGGCCACAAGTTGGGAAGGTTTAAGAAGCCTCGATCTAGAGTGCTTGAGTCAGATCTCTTGCTTGTGTGAAATGAGGAAGAAATTTCCCAGTTATCATATTTATTCTTGTGGTTTTCCCCAAAGAAGTTTCGAAATAGAAATGATCTCACATGACTGGTGGGTAAATCACACTCAGTCCACCTCAGAAAAAGACAATGGCAAGGTCTGTCTGAATAAATCTGAGCACAAAGAAATTCCATAGCAGATTTAACTTAGGATCACCAAAAGTTGGAAACAACCTGAAGGTACAAATTGGCAGCAGCAAACAACAATCTTTGTTTCCAAAGTTTGATCCTCCAAATATTTTGGACTTCACATTCCTGAATCCCGATGGTTGTCCAAGCTGACTATCTTTTGGGAATTGAAGTTCAGAACACCTAGGACCACTGCTCTAGCTCTTTCTGTTCTACTCTCAAGTTCTTGGGATTATCTAAGGTAACTCTTTGAATTTCTTTCTCCCACCTTTGATTATTTTTAAAAAGTTATGGTTGAGAAAACCATTTCATTGTGACAGGCCTGAGATGCTTATTTTATTTCTGAAGAACATAAAGAAAAGATATATGAAAGGATCCCTTTGCAACTGTGCTTGGGCTTATTGCAAGACATCTTCTTTTACAATCATAACGGACAATCTGATTACTCATTCACTTTCTGTATTCATTTGCTGTGAAAATGTTCAGAAGGAAGGTGTGTGTCATTTGAGTGATGATATTGCAAAGCTGTGAAAATTGCTTTTTGTGAAGAATGCCTATACTGATATGCTGAAGACATCCATAACTGAAGAGTGGTAAGATAATGTTCTGATATCTGTCTGACACCTGGGTTTTGCCCTCCTGGGTTCCTCGGGGTTTGGTTCTCTCCTCCTTTCTGCTCAATATATACATACTGAACATCCCTTATACAGAATTCCCAAATCCAAAATACTCCAAAATTGACTGCAAAGATGGCTGAGATAGTGATTCCTTTGCTTTGTGATGATTCAGTGTGCACAAACATTGTTTCATGCACACAATATGCATGATATGCATCCCGCAGACCACAAATTTTGAATGCGTCCACCTGAGGGTGGGTGACCGGGACAGAATAGGGATTCTGTAGTGTACCGTCCACCTCGCTGCACTACAGTCTCCCTACCTGAGCTAGCGGGGGTAGTCTCGAGCCTGGCGTTGGAGTCTCAACGGCTGTGCTGGGAGACTTCAATATCCATGCCGAGGCGACCCTCACAGGAGCGGCTCAGGACTTCATGTCTGCCATGGCAACCATGGGGCTGTCCCAACAAATATCTGGCCCCACCCACTGTGCTGGACATACATTGGACTTGGTTTTCTGCCAGGGATGGGAGCAGGGTGGCGGTGTGGAGGAGTTGTCCATCTCTCCGTTGCCATGGACCGACCACTTCCTGATCAGATTTAGGCTCACTGCGCCCCCTAACCTGTGCAAAGGAGGCTGTCGAGGTCCTGAACCGCTGTAATGGTCTGGATGAGGGCGAACAAATTGAAATTAAATCCAGACAAGACAGAGGTACTCCTGGTCAGTCGCAAGGCCGAACAGGGTATAGGGTTACAGCCTGTGCTGGATGGGGTCGCACTCCCCTTGAAGGCGCAGGTTCGCAGCTTGGGTGTGATCCTGGATTCATCGTTGAGCCTGGACCCCCAGGTTTCAGCGGTGACCAGGGGAGCATTTGCACAGCTCAGGCTCGTGCGCCAGCTGCGCCCGTACCTTGGGAAGTCTGACTTGGCCACGGTGGTACATGCTCTGGTCACATCCCGCCTTGACTACTGCAACGCTCTCTACGTGGGGCTGCCCTTGAAGACGGCCGGGAAGCTTCAGCTAGTCCAGCGCGCGGCAGCCATGTTACTAACAGGAGCGGGACGCAGGGAGCACACAACGCCCTTGTTGTTCCAGCTCCACTGGCTGCCGATCTGCTACCGGGCCCAATTTAAGGTGCTGGTGTTGGCCTACAAAGCCCTAAACGGTTCCGGCCCAAAATACCTTTCTGACCGCATCTCGGCCTATGAGCCCACGAGGGCCTTGAGATCGTCCGGGGAGGCCCTTCTCTCGATCCCGCCTGCCTCACATGCACGTCTGGCGGGGACGAGAGATAGGGCCTTCTCGGTGGTGGCCCCCCGGCTGTGGAACACCCTCCCTGTAGACATCAGACAGGCGCCCTCCCTTATGTCATTCCGCAAGAGCCTAAAGACATGGTTATTTGAGAAGGCGTTTAACTAAGTGCTACAACAATTGGCAATGACGACTGGAACGGAATATGGATAACGAGATTGGTTTATGATTCTACGATGAGACGGCGCGGATGATTTAGTGTAATTGTATTATTGATAGTTATGTTGATATTCTGTTGTGATATTGCCTTATTGTAAACTGTTTTTATATGTTGTACACCGCCGTGAGTCGCCCTAGGGCTGAGAACGGCGGTCAACAAATGCAGTAAATAAATAAATAAATAAATAAATAAATGTATATGAATTTTGTGTTTAGACTTGGCTCCCATCTCCAGGAAGAGATGCTTGAGTATTTGTTGCCTAAGGAAACCCTATGAAATTAATGGGGTTGTTGTAAGTTGACAGGCAATTTGGATACATATAAACACATATGAACATGTGTGCTTCATGTTTATTTCCTTTGGCTTTGTTCTTAAATTCATTTTATTTTATCAGTATTTTAACACAATGCAATTATTTATTGATTTTTAGACTGTCATGCTTTTAATAGTATCTTTGTGGAAGTTGTCTTAGGCCCCAAGTAAGGAGAAGGGTGAAATGTTATTTAAATGTAATCAAATCCTTTATTAATTTAAAATACCCAGATGTCTACCTTTACCAAAGCATCATCCTATCACTGCTCAGTTATGGGTGGCTTATGAGTTTCATAGTGCTCATTCTTCCTAAAGGTAATTTCCCACGCTTTGGAGTAAATGGTATTAGCACTATTCCATTAAGTATTACTGCCAACATTTCACTGAAAGCAAATTTTGTAAAAATTTCAGGGTGTCTTCTCACTTGAAATATACAAGGAATGTTAAAGGAATAAAAGGGGCAAAAATGACAAGTGATCCATCTTTAAGGCAGGAGCAATCACATACTTCACAAAGCTCATTTTGTATGTAGTTGTTTGCCTTCAAGACATTTACAGCTTTTGACAACACTAAGACAAACTTTTTGTTGGGTCTGGGTTGTTGCAGTTTTTTTCGGGCTATATGGCCATGTTCTAGAGGCATTCTCTCCTGACGTTTTGTCCGCGTCTATGGCAAGCATCCTCAGAGGTAGTGACGTCTGTTGGAACTAGGAAAATTGGGTTTATATATTTGTGGAATGTCTAGGGTGGGACAAAGAACTCTTATTTGTTGGAGCTAGGTGGGAATGTTTCAACTGACCACCTTGATTAGCATTTGATGGCCTGGCAGTGCCTGGGGCTTAGATGCCCCTGGTGATTAGATGCCCCTGATTGTTTTCTCTCTGTTGTTTTTGCTGGGTATTCTTGGCAATTTTGTTCAGAGAGGGTTTGACTTTGACTTCCTCAGAGGTTGAGAAAGTATGATTTCTCCAAGACCATGTAATGTGTTTCCATGGCTGAATAGAGATTCTGGTCTCCAGAGTTGTAATCAACACTCAAACCTCTATGCCACCCAACCTCTCCGCGAAGATGATGATACCCTGGATTGCAGCTTGCTTGGGAACTACAGTATGTGTAAACCTCTGGTCTGATGTTCAAGGCAATGGAGTCAATGGCCACCTCACTGTTAAAGGCTGGTCCACAGTCTGCGTTGGTTCCACAAGACAGACTTTAGATTGTCCTATCAAGGAAGGGCCAGGCTTGTTGTCCCACAAATAAATGCTACTAGCTCATAGTAAGAATGTAACATCCAAGGAAGATCATACCAGCATTAGAATGATTATGATATCTTTAAAAGATCTACAGTAAAATCAAGTCAAGTTATTAGGAATGCTAAAACAAATGTAAGATCTTCACC